AGAATGCAAATAAAACAATATTTCTAAGATGATATTTTAGGTCTTGAATAATACTAGGAACCAAGAAGGCACAACAAACATTTTCACAATATCAACCCAAACTCCTTCCATAACACTGGATGAAAGACCTCGGACAGTTGCTTTTATCTTCAACTGCAAGTCCAACCCCTCACTCACGGGAGGCTGTTTATGTTTGGACTTTCAAAGTACAGTGTCGACACAACAGTCAGGCACATGCTTTATATTTCATTGCATTTAAGTGATAGTTTCCATTTTAAGGAACGTGCATTACTTTAAAGGATCACTATAGCGTCAGGAACACAAACATGTATTCCTGACCCTATAGTGTTAACACCATCATCTAGCCCCCCTGGGCCCCTCATGCCTCCATAAATATAGTAAAAATCTTACTGTATTCAAGTCTGAAGCTGTAACTCTGCATGCTGTTAGACTCAGAAAAACAAGCAGTGTGCTGACATAATCAGAAGTGATAGCCTGATCCACTCACAATGCTTCCCCACAGGATTGGCTGAGACTGACAAGGGGGCAGATCAGGGTCAGAGCCAGCATGATTCAAACACAGCCCTGGCCAATCAGCATCTCCTCATAGAGATGAATTGAATCAATGAATCTCTATGAGGAAAGTTCAGTGTCTGCATGCAGAGGGAGAAGACACTAAATGTTTGGATGCATTTTAGGCAGCCATAACCCAGGAAGGATCTCTAACAGCCATCTGAGGAGTGGCCAGTGAAGTTATCACTAGGCTGTAATGTAAACACTGCATTTTCTCTGAAAAGACAGTGTTTACAGCAAAAAGCCTGAAGGTAATGATTCTACTCACCAGAACAAATACAATAAGCTGCCGGGCTCTGGGGGGAGGAAGGGGTTAAACTTACCTCTTTCTCCAGCACCGGGCGGGGAACTCTCCTCCTCCTCTCTGGCTGAATGCGCATGCGCGGCAGGAGCCGCGCATGCATTCAGCCAGTCTCATAGGAAAGCATTCATAATGCTTTCCTATGGACGCTGGCGTCTTCTCACTGCGATTTTCACAGTGAGAAGCGCAGAAGCCCTCTAGCTGGATTAACCCTAATATAAACATAGTTTATAGAAAAAAGCTGGACCAGGCACCCAGACCACCTCATTAAGCTGAAGTGAAGTGGTCTGGGTGCCTATAGAGGTCCTTTAACAGGGCCGGACTGGGGATACAAAGCAGCCCTGGAAAAAAAAAAATAATTGTGACAGCCCCATATATTGTCGCGTGTAATATGTAAGGCTATGTCTTGCCAGGACAGATGATTGTGTAATATATATATATATATATATCTTTTTCTAATATAAAATATTGGTCCTTTCAGGGTAAAACGTTTAATTATACAGTAAGCATACTCACATGCAGACACAGGCAATTTCACTGACATTTCAATGACACACACAAGCTCATTGATACACAGCCTCATAGACAAACAATCTTACTGATATACATCAGCTCATTGACATAAAAACACAAGCTCACTCACTAGCAGGCACACGCATGCAAGCAAGCTCACTCACTAGCAGACGCACACACACAGCTTAATGTGGTGGTACTGGTGTCTATAGCATGTCCCTACAGGCTTTTCAACGTAAACACTGACTTTTCAGAGTAAAGGCAGTGTTTACATTGCTTCAAAGTGACACTGCTAGTGACAGTCACTCAGACGGTCACTAGAGGTGCTTCCTGTGTTAGTGCACCTACATTCAGGGCCTCCACACTCTGTAGGTGCTGAACGTTCCCCATAGAGATACATTGATTCAATGCATCTCTATGAGGAGATGCTGATTGGAGTGGCGTTTTGCAACCAATCCTATGGCAAAGCATTGGATTGGCTGAGATCATCAAGCTTGATGATCTCAGCTATAGAGGCAGGGCCAGTCGAGGGGAGACCAGCACGCTGCGTGAAAAAAAAAAATGGTGAGCAAAAACACTTTTTAAACACACATTTACACCATGACAGACACAGAAACACACATATACCATGACAGACACACACCCCAAGACGGACAGACACACACCAAGACGGACAGACAGACAGACACACCATACAGACACCATGACACAGACAGACACACACACACACACACACCATACAGACAGACACACACACACACACACCATACAGACAGACACACACACACACCATACAGACAGACACACACACCATACAGACAGACACACACACCATACAGACAGACACCATGACACACACACACACACCATACAGACACCATAACACAGACAGACAGACACATTACTAATACCTGCCAGGGAGAGGTCTTCTGGAGGCCACTGGGGGATTTTTACCGCTGGGGAGGTCTGCTGTCGGCCGCTGGGGGAGCTGCGCTGGCTCTGCTCTCCCGCCCTCGCGCGCTGCTGAATGAGACCGGCGCCGGAATATGACGTCATATTCCGGCGCCGGTCTCATTCAGCTGCGCGCTGGGGAGCAGAGCCAGCGCAGCTCCCCCAGGGGCCGCCAGGACAAGTCCCCCAGCGGCCGACAGCAGACCCAGGTGTCTGCCCGGCCCCAGGTGCCGACGGCCCACCGGGAAATTTCCCAGTATCCCGGTGGGCCAGTCCGGCCCTGTCCTTTAAATGAGACAGATGCCTCACTCTGCAGCCTGAGGGGGGGAAAGTAGGTAAATAGGATGTTTTCATGTTTACCTTATTCCTTTTTATGCTTTCCATGCCCAATCCAGAAAGGATACTGATCTAACCAATCAGTGTCATATCCCTAGGAATGGTGGGAAAATGTTTGGGCATGCCTGACAAATTTATACATATGCAGCTGGAAACATTCTTCACCTTGCAACATCTGGACAGGGGGAGAAGAAAGAGTGTCCAGAGGCACTGGTGTTGGTTTTCTTTCTCCAGCTGCTTGCACAATAATGCCCTGTTTCTGACATGAGAGGACTGGTCTAAAACTGAGATGGGTAAGCAGGAGGGCGAGGGGAGAAGGCTGAAGAAATTCCCCTGGGTGAGAGATGCGCCCATAAAAGCAATCTGATCAAGTTTATTGTAGGCCTATAAATGTTTATTATGTACTTTTCAAAAACTTGGTGTCATTATTTTGGTCTGTATATTTATTTAAAAGTATTTACTTGCTTGTTTAAATAAAAAAAAATAGAAAATCATAATTGTCGACTGCTACATGTTATGTGGAGCATTTAAGAAAAAAATTATAACTAGTTTATAATAGATACCATTCAATCCCGTGATCTCACGCAGCGCCGGGGGGTGGCCAAGAGTCCTGGGATGATCACTGTATAAGGCTTCTAAGCTGTAAGACAAACTATGCTGCACAGACAGCGAGACAATACAATGCGCAGACTGGCTGACCAAAAGAACCACAGGAAGTGGCGGGCTGGCCTGGGGAGGGGGTGACAATTGAAGGTGACATTGGCCCACAAGGTGGACACAAACCCAATAATCCGAGAGACAGACATACCGAGAGGGTGAATTTGACTCTGAAGCAATAGTGACACGCGCAACCAAAGTCCCGGGAACCCCGACCCAGGGTGGATGGATGACCCGCGGGAGTCGAACCAGACCCCAGAAGACCACGCTTCCCTAATCACACACGGGCTTCACCTAGCACACCACGGGACCCAGACCACTTATATCTAACAACCTGACGCAGGGAAATACGTAGCTACCACCAGCTCGACTAGGGAGCACCGACTCCACGGACGGACTGATTACCTCCGTTATTAATAAAGGATCAGACCCATGTTTAAATCCTATACGAACTGCGGCCACCCAGGGAAGCACTCAATTACTTCCCCTGCGGTTTCACACTTATGGTGCAAATTGCCAATGTTCTAATAGATTGGTGTGGGCATTCCAAAGGGTACTAGGAAGGTCCCCAATCGGAAGCTGAACGAGGTGGGAAGCAATCCGCTAATGCTCCCCCTGGATGGTGTTCGTCTAACGAACGGGCCGCCACGCGCAGAAGCTTCCCTTGCGGTTTATGGTTCACACCTCGTTAGTGAGGTTTGAAGTTCTAACTAAACATTCTAAATGGAATATTGGTCTGGTCCCCATTCGGGAGACGAACAGGCTTTGTTCGAATGCGGTCTCCCGAACGTGAAGCAGGTCAAACACACAAGAAATCACTAATCCATGGGGAACATAGGCAAATATAATTAATAAGATCGTGTATATGTAAAATAAACAGCGGTAATAAAATCAAATAAAGTTCATCCGGATTTTCTTAAAAATATAGAATAAAAACAGTCTCACTGATATGTAGTACCACGATATTAATCCTCAAGTATGGCTCCGTCCGTGTGGTAGCTAGTCCATATATGTGAAGATAAAAAACAAGAAAGAAAGCTGCCTATGGTGAAATATTGTTGGTCCTGATGTGGTATATAATCAAAGGAAATATGTTTCACTCACATTTGGTGGAGCTTATTGCCAGCTCTGGGAGAAGAGGCACTTAGTGGTTTGATCCCCACTAACGGATATACTTAGATGGTCCGTCTGTCCGGCTTGGGATTCCTGTGGTGTCGGCTAGGATCTACTTCACATATACGTTGTTTTCTTGATGCTTGGAAGATAGGTCCGCCTTTTCAGTATCGGGTGGTAGGTGTCCACGGAGTATATATATGAGACAGCAAAATAGTGCTCTCAGTATGAACAACAAAGTGATATCTATAAATGAATAATACTTACAAGAATGGAGCAGATGGATACTGCTCTATTGCCACAGCGCTGGTGGAATTATCCCCACCTAAGGATTTCTTTGGACGGAATATGCTTCCAGGTAAAAAATTGAATAATAAAAAATAATAAAAAAAGGTGGATAAAACTATAGTGTTAAATACAAAAAATATATATGAAAAAATAATATATATATATAAAATGCCAGGGGTAAAAAGAAAGTGTATAAAATACAAATAAGTATGCAAATGGTCCTAGTTTTAAAAGGTAACCAAAAATAACTTTTATTGATTAAAATACACTTATTAAAACCATTTACGCGTTTCACCTTTGGGGTTTTTACCATTTTGAGAAAACCCCAAAGGTGAAACGCGTAAATGGTTTTAATAAGTGTATTTTAATCAATAAAAGTTATTTTTGGTTACCTTTTAAAACTAGGACCATTTGCATACTTATTTGTATTTTATACACTTTCTTTTTACCCCTGGCATTTTATATATATATATATATATTTTTTCATATATATTTTTTGTATTTAACACTATAGTTTTATCCACCTTTTTTTATTATTTTATTATTTTTATTATTCAATTTTTTACCTGGAAGCATATTCCGTCCAAAGAAATCCTTAGGTGGGGATAATTCCACCAGCGCTGTGGCAATAGAGCAGTATCCATCTGCTCCATTCTTGTAAGTATTATTCATTTATAGATATCACTTTGTTGTTCATACTGAGAGCACTATTTTGCTGTCTCATATATACTCCGTGGACACCTACCACCCGATACTGAAAAGGCGGACCTATCTTCTAAGCATCAAGAAAACAACGTATATGTGAAGTAGATCCTAGCCGACACCACAGGAATCCCAAGCCGGACAGACGGACCATCTAAGTATATCCGTTAGTGGGGATCAAACCACTAAGTGCCTCTTCTCCCAGAGCTGGCAATAAGCTCCACCAAATGTGAGTGAAACATATTTCCTTTGATTATATACCACATCAGGACCAACAATATTTCACCATAGGCAGCTTTCTTTCTTGTTTTTTATCTTCACATATATGGACTACCTACCACACGGACGGAGCCATACTTGAGGATTAATATCGTGGTACTACATATCAGTGAGACTGTTTTTATTCTATATTTTTAAGAAAATCCGGATGAACTTTATTTGATTTTATTATCGCTGTTTATTTTACATATACACGATCTTATATATTTCAACATATCTGTTTTACCTAAGCGCAGCCCTTGACCCCCTCTTTTTTCGCATTTCCTACATAAGGGTTCCGTGAGGGATCTCCCTTTTTGGGTTGCTGCTCAATTGAACTAGCGCAGACTCTTCCTCTGTTTTGTTTCACTATAAATATAATTAATACTTTTTACGGTTTAGCAGTGATACCGCTACAGACACCCTCTAACAGACCTGCAACTGCACCCTCAGGGGCAACACCTGGATCGAACCCACTATCCAGTGACACCGCTATGTCTATGGTCGAATAATGTATGGGGCTTGAATGCGCCCGAACATCGTTCCCATTTACTACGCTCCATCTCTTGCACACAGGGCAAAAAAAAAAAAAAAAAAAAGAACAGCAACGTAGGACGGTGGCCTTCCTGGATCGCTAGCACAAAGATAACCTGTATGATGAAACATACAGAGAACTGCTAGAAAATAGACGGAACCTCTGTCAAATTTTATCACAGGGCCTACTACACACTATCCACAAGTCATGGAGACATTTCTACGAACACTCAAACAAACATGGCCGCTTACTAGCTGGGATGCTCCGAAAACACAGGCACATGTGCCACATCACAAAAATCAGAACTAAACCACACAGCTTCTAGACAGGATAATGAAAGAATTCCATCAATACTACATAGACCTCCGTGACACCAAACACCGTCCAACTGCGATAGCAGATTACCTGCGATGCCACGTCCAGAGGTCCCTGACGGACGAAAACAGAGAAAAGTTAGAGTTCCCATCACACAATACCAGAATTACAATACCTCCTGCTCCTTACCTCCACGCCGAGAGCCCCCCGAAATACATGGCACGCTGGGAACAAGGCACCAACACAACTGTTCACGAACCACAATAGGCTAAAATCCACACGCTAGCACTTCAAGGAACGATAAGTATGAAATTACAAGAGTTGAACTGCAAACTACTCACCTTCTGCTGAACGGCCCATGCGGACAAAAAGCAACATAATAAAGGATTTTTAAAAACTAATAAATAAAATAACACTTTAAACTGGAATATTCATTTAATGATCACCAATACTCAAACTTCTAAACCATTTTTTCCCTCTTAAGTGTTTGCAAGTTTACTTTGTAGCGAAACAATAAGGCAGAATAATATATTATGGTTTCTCAGGTGTTAAATGCTGAACTGCTTGCACTGATTCCAGGAAAAGTGGGGGCCGTAAAAAAATAGTGTTCTCTTTCTTGGAAATTATAGAAGGCTTAACGGACTGAATCAACCCACTGAGCTAATTTTACGCAAGATTGGGCTGAATGTTTATGAATGATTTTAATCACCGACGTAGGAGTATACTGGGAACAATCGAAAAGCAGTGAAACCCTGTAAATAATAATACGTACTCGAAGAACAGGAATGTATCAAGGGCAGAGAAAGCGAACTCAGGGAAGAGCCTTTTGGCACTAGAAATGTGTTGTTCTATTTTACAGGAAGTGAAGCACATTTTTTTTTCCTATCAGAAACACTATATAGTAATTTTAAAATAAGGAGCACAAACTAAGACTGGATTTAATTCCATGAATCCACGCTCTATTGTTTTCAAAGGATTAACTGTAATAAGAATATATGCAGAATACAAAAGACATGATTATTCACTAAAGTGCGAATTGTCAAACTAAAAGTGAATTTAAAAAAAAAGTTACAATGATTTGGCTATTTCAAATTAAAATTCACTTTCATTTCCCTACAATTCACACTTAATAGTAATATTAAGAACCATAATAGCCTCCACATTCTGCTAGATAATGTTTTAGCCAGGGTATAAAGCAATGATGGCTAACTTTGACTTTTATGTTACTGATTCACATTTCCAAAGCTGGCAGAGCATCACGGGGGATGGAGTTCAAAATTATCAAAAAGGTACCGAGGTTACCCATGACTGGTATCGGTGAAATTATTTTTACAATATGGAGAGAAATAATTCTAATGGTGCACTCTGGAACATATCCACAATGCATGGCCATTATCCCATTGTACAGTGCTAAGAAATCTGATGCCGCTCTATAATAAAATAGTAATCAAGAAATTATAAAATATTTTTAAAATATAAAAGTATTTAGAAACAAAATACTTTTATATTATTGTTTAGGCAAAGAACTGATAGATTTGAAAATTCTGCAACTCAGCTAGTCACTGCGTGACTATTTTTGCATTAACTGTGCAGTTATGAATTAATTTTGTTTGTTTGTAAGTAAATCCCATTATGTTAAAGATCGCCCCCTTACGGGGAAAAAACAAAAACAAATACCACCAATGTAAAGTTTAACCCCTTTACCACAAATAGCTGTAGAGGTTATGCTGCAAGGCGTGCCCCGATATCCTCCCAGGGTAAGTAGTCAAATTCTCATAGAATGGTTTGACAACTTACCTGTGTTCCACTAAGCACCCACTGCCACCTCCTCTGTAGCCAGTAGATCCAGGAACTGGGTTATGTCTGGCAGTGCTTGAAGGTGCTCCTTGGCTAAGCAGACACCCTCCACTAATGAGTCGTCCTGCACAGCAAGGCTTAGGTCAGCAGAGCTAAAGGAAACTCCCTGCAGGAGCTTCCAGCTCCAGTAGAAGAGTCAACCAGAGCTCAGCAGACTCCAGGTAAATTGTTAATCCATTATCAAAAGGTTTAACTACATACCCTGGCACCATAATCAATACAACATGCTGTCTTTGTTATGGTGCTAACAGCAAGGTATTTTAACATAGGAAGAATAGCACACAAAACAATGCATGAAACAGTTATTTAGGGTATAGACTGCTGTTCACAAGGACAACACGAATGTAAAGGTTTATTTACTTTATTAAGTGTTATTCGTCCTTTGTTTACAAAAATAATTGGGAATAAAAAAAAATTAAAAAAAAATAAAAAAAATTTTTTTTTAAAGTTGCACATATCTCTTATTTTGCAAACCTTCAGGCTGGGTCAACAACTCACAACACACAAAATGGATTCAGAGAAAAGCTTTAACTCCCCTAATTTGTATTCTTCTTCCTTTTTAGCATTCCCGCTGACCGGGCTGTGTACACTCATTACCTCTGCCAGAGCACCGCTTTTTGATTACTGTATGCACATCTGTTTCTATATTGGATGCTCCAATTCTCTGATTCTATATCAAGGTCCTTTAACATGTGAACCTGCTCTGTGCAGTTTGCATTGCTGATTTAACAAACATTGATTTAGGCTCAAAAATGGTATTAAGAACACCGACAGGAAGGAGCACCAAAGTCCTTCGAACACAGTAAAATGATGGGAGAAAAAAAACAAAAAAACACCATGGGTAATTAACATTGGTTAGACCGTGGTAATGCAATCTAAAAAAAACTTGAGTCTGAAAAAGTAATTTTCTAAACATTTAAGCTATACATTCCCCATAAAATTTATTGGCTTAAAGAACCTCCACTACCCAAATGGACAAAAAGGGGGAGGGGGCACAACAACTTTCACTTTATCTGCCTGAAAAGCAAAGTTGGGTCAAACTTTACTGTTATCTGACCAACTGCTGCTCAACCTAACTTCCCTGCTGCTGTGACTGCTCTGGGTGACAAGGAGTCAGGCAAGTTAGGTTAAGCAACAATTGGTCACATAAACTTGCTTTTAAAAAGTCTAGTTTGTTAGTATGACAATTCCTCAATGGGTTAAATGTTACACTGTGGAACAGACCATGCAGTTATATTTTAAAATAACACAAAAGGAAATTAAGTGCTGGAACAGTTCTGTTAGCAGCAACAGGCCTGCCAAGGTTCTCTTTTCTTGGCTGAAGAAGTGATAATAGATTGTAATACGACCAACCTACTGCAATCTATTACGCAGTTTTATTTACTTTTTTTTTGACAATCTTTATTTAAGAGTGTTTAAACTTGAGAAAAAAATAAAATAAAAAAAGATAGTCCACACATTTGCATTTGAACATGATGTGTACACAAAACACGACAAGGATTACAGCTGGTTACATACACACCACAATCTTGGTTGAGTACTACCAGTACTACAAGAGACATAGAGAGGGAAAAAAATGGGTGGGAAAGAGAAGAAACCCTGGGGGTGGAGACCAACAGTTCCCTACCAACCAACTGCACAGGTCTACAGGATCATGGTGTAAACACTATTCACCTCTGAGGGCATGAGAAACGGGATTGCC